AAGTGCACTCGAACAGCAGTTACATCTTCTGGAGAAGGACTGTGGGTTCTGATTACAACTTTTGAGAACCCAGTGAAATTTGCTGTCTTTGAAATACAGGGCCCTGCTAAACGGGCACCAACAATAAGCCCGTTTTCAAATGGTGAAAGTTCTGTTGTTTTAACCATTTTACTTCATTCACCGTCAAAAGTACTCTTACTTATACTAGCACTCTAACCACGTGTAACCTACGTAATAAAGAAATTTGCATACTTCATCCCTAGCATGCATTCAAATGAAAATCTCTCAAAGGTTTCTAATTCATTGGTCAGTGTATAAACACACATGCTTAAAGCTAACACAGAACTAAATGAAGAATAATGAATGAATTCATGTGCATATTAATCCGCATTTATAAAAGCAAATTGGATATCGGACTGAAGAATGTGGAATGTGTTGCCACTTAGGCACACAGATTTCAGAGGAATGTTGACATAGCTTTGGAAAGTTTTGGGGGAGGGTGGAACAAGAAATCGGTTTAAATCGAACCATTGAAAGACTGGTTGTTATCTGTGCTCTTAGAAATGGAAGAAAGCTTGACATATGCATGACCTTCTACTGTCCAAATCCAGCTACTGCGAAAGAATTTAATAGAAAGCTATGTAGTCAAAACAAAACTGGTAGAGTACTGGGTGGTTATAATTAAACTTCCCCTATAAATGGCATCCTACAGAGCAAACGGGTAAACAGAATGCAACAAAATTTTTTATATGGGTTATACACGAGATGCACTCAAGAAATTTCGGAAAAAAAAAAAAAAAAAAAAAAAAAAAAAAGAGCTCCAAAATGTCCACCAGAGGGCTCCTTTTTGAGAAAAGATGAAATTTAACACAATAAATGACCAAAACGGAACACAACAATATTAACAATCCAGAACAAGAATTATGAGCAATAAAATGCAAAATCGGTAAAAGCTGTCAGTTGTAACAGAAAAATGTCGAGGTTTGCATGCTTGGAAAGAAGAGGAAACTTTATTCAAAACAGGTTAGGGTATAAAACGTTTGCAAACATTGTGATGTTTAAGTTGATGTTTCGGCTGTACATGATGGTCTCTAATTGAACGTGCGTTATTGGTGAAGCTGTTTTACAAAAACAAGGGTATGCATCTGCTGCAGTTAATGAATTTCGTCGTAGAAACAACCTACGGCGTGAACCAATGTCTACTACAGGTATCCAGGCCATGATTAAGAGATTTAAAGGGACAGGAAACTTAGGAGTTCAACCTGGAGAGGCCGTAAACGTGTCACACCGGTACTTCTTGATGCTGTCAAGATAGATATTGATGCACAGTCACAGACATCAGAGTTTTGGGGCAGTAGCACATGTACAGTTTCTCGGCAGACTAGCTATTCTTACAGCACCATCCAATACGTATTCAGAAACATAATGGAGTATTTCCCACACAAGATCCACCATACCCAGGAGCTGCTTGATAGAGACAAACGTCTCTCATTCGCAGTCAGTTTTCTCAACAGAATGACTGTTGATCTGTCATGGCTTTGGAATATTCTGTGGAGCGACGAGGCTCATTTCTACCTCAACGGGACAGTCAACACACAGAATTGACGCATTTGGGCTATGGAAAATCCGCAGATCCACACTGAAATTCCCCTAAAGTTTCCAAAGATCACTGTCTGAGGTGGATTCACGGCAACATTCATACTTGGACCATTCTTCTTTGAGGAAATCGGTGAACGTGGGCCTGTTACATTTTCCGTTACAGGCTGTTGGTACCATGACATGCTGCAGACGATTGTTGTGCTGTAACTACAGCAAATTTGGGTCCTTACATTGACCATTTTCATGCAGGATGGTACCCCCCCCACATATCCATGGATCTGTGGAGGCGCTATTGCTCCAATACTTCACAGAGAAACGTGATATTAGTCACTCCTTTCCTATTCCATGGCCAACACATTTGCCGGATCTAACTCCGTGTGAGACTTTAAATGACTCAACAAACTCCATAATGCTTCATGTGCATAGCCTCACAACTGATCAATTACGATCCGCTATTGAACACTAGTTGCCTTGAACTGAAAAGCATTAGCTTTGTATAAAAACTTTATTGATATTCTAAAACATGAAATATTTAAGAGAAAAACTGCCTGCAGCGCAGTGCGGCTAAGAATGCTATTTTACTGAAACATAAACATGAACAACTGTTGTCATTCACACAATAGTAAAATAAAGCATGCTGCCAGTAACAAGATTATTGTAAATCATAACATAAAATTAAATACTGAGAAAATAAATAAGGCAAAAAAAAAAAAAAAAAAAAAAAAAAAAAAAAAAAAAAAAAAAAAAAAAAGGAAATGCAAATATTAAATATACATCCAACAAACACACTGTCCATTGACCAGGTGAATGAGGGTGGCCACGTGGAGCATCTTTCCCTACTTCGTGTCGGGCACGATTAACAACTGGTCCTTTTGTGCAATTTCATGCTAATCTAATCTTGTTTCTGCAAAGTGAACTGTTTTCGTAACTCCCTTACCTTTACTTAATGCGGTTCGATAACAAGGTGATCAGAAACTAGTCAATAAATGTTAATATTGTTTCTGTATTCCGTTTTGGTCATTTACTGTGTTAAATTTCCTGTTTTTCTCGAAAAGGCGCCCTCTGGTGGACATTTTGGAGCTAAATTTTTTCTTCGAAATTCCGTGAGCGCATCTCGTGTATAGCCTATATACAAAATTTCGCTGCATTCCGTTTACCCGTTTGCGCTGTAGGATGTCGGTTATAGGGTAAGTTCAATTATAACCACTCAGTATATTACACAGTTGCAGTCACTGTCACAAATAGTGGCCACGGTTGCTGGTGAAATCTACAAGTAATTGATCAAACTATGCCCTGAATATATATCTGTATAAATACTAGAGTACTCTTGAATGTATATCTCTTGTAATATTACAATACTGTTGAACATATATTTCTATAATACTGTAGTTTGCTTACACTGCCACCTTTGCAATATTCTCTTATTACAAAACTGCGATATTTTTGGCGATATAAAGATTACTTTTAAGGTGGAAATGGGGTTATTTAAGAAAAATAGATGAAATTTTTAGTGTGTTATAGTTATTTTTGAAAACTAGATTTTCAGGTGAATTTACTGACCTTTTTTTTTCAGTTGCTTTCTAGATTAGTCAGAAGCATTTAATGAATTCCACCACCACTCCAACATGCACAAAGAAAAACTACAGGGAAAAAAAATTGCAAATCATGCTGCTCAGAAATCCTTCTAAGATAATTAGTACTTGGATAATTTGTGCTTTGTTTAAGAAACACTAAAAATAATTTAAAAAAAAAACAGTAGCTAGAAATATTTGGTTTAGCTCGCTGAAATCTCATTTTTGCATATTTTCCCATCTGAATAGAAAGTTTTGTTAATCCTTCCTGAATTTTCTTTTCTTATTCTTTTATTTGCTACTGCTTAATGAACTCGATCATTAAAGAAATTCTATGGTCTACTTTTACCTCATGTAATGACTATGTTCATAATTTTATTCCATCCTTCTATGAATTAACTAACTGTTCAATGTTGTCCACAAAAGCACTGTTCTAAAGACAGTCATCATAGTAATCTGATAATTCTGATGTAATCAGATAGTTCAATTCTACACTGAGATAAGTCTTTCAGATTATGATACCTAAAATTGCAAAGTTAAGTATATGCCTCTTTTATCAATTCTAACTACTCCGATAGATCGTATGTATATAACAGATAATTTCTCTCTGTAGGAACATAAACTAATTTTATTGTGCAAATTTATATATGCTTCTGAATACAATTGCTTAGCAAATGCATGTTTAAACTAAGTAAAATATGGAAGTAACATTTTCCAGCTCTTGATGATAAAAAGGCTTAAAGCAGATAATTTGCTTAACATAACCTTGCACAGACAAGCTCAAAAGATTACAAGATATCGAATTTCATCTTGCTACTGAGGAATAGAGGATACAATCATTTCAAAATTTATTTATTAAGTTTATTATTTAAAATTTAATTTTATTAAAATTAATGACCAATTTCACATTGTTTTGTAAGAGCTTCTTAAAACTCTCGACATATACCCAATGGTGAGTTAAATAGGTCTGCGGGAGTCTTTAGTTAAATTTGTCTCTAATTTGAGAGTCCTTGTTCTTTTTGTTTAAGTAAAATAAATTAATTTCATAGTAAAATCAAAACGAAGTTGCAGGATTAATGACTGAAAACAAGAAAGAAACTGCCGATTTGCTCTGCAGTGTCAAGAGAAAATAGGTTTGGTTTGTTTTCGATTATTTAATTATGGCAAAGCAAGCAAGGGCTGTATTTAAACTATCAAAACTAGTCATAACTTCTTCAATAATCTTTCTGTTTATGTTCTGCAGCCTGTAGTAGTGGTTTGTTTACTTAACAAGCAAAATACATGTGGGCTTCTAACCTATAAGGAATGATTCCTTTGCACAGAACTTTTTAAGTGGGGGAGTGGGATTTGCATATTTTGAGAAATTAATTTTATAAATCTTATTTATTGTTAAGAAAAACTTTCCTAAAAAATAAAGGCTAAAAATTAAAATTCTGCTGATTTGGTAATATGCTGGGAGACCAGGAGATATGAAAAACTGGAAGAGTTGGTGGCTATCCAAAATGCATTATTTATGTAACTTGGGAGATTTTTGTATAAAACCTGTTATTTGAATACCAGAAACAGCCAAGGAATGTGAAAATAGTTAAATTTTCACATTCCTTGGCTTTGAAAAGCATGATTAGTCTCTACATTGGCATTCAAACTACAATGTGGTAAATGTTTTATCAACATCTGCATCTAACGTTGCTCCTTATTTGCTCTTTAAAGAATATTTAATATCTAATTTAATTAAATATTTAATATAGAGAATTACCAGCTTCCCATGTGCAGAGTAAATTTTAACTATCAAATTCAGTAATTTAGAAAGCCAACATACAAAAGGCATAATTCAATTCAAATTATTTAATAAAACATACATTCAAATATTTAACATACAAATACTCGAACTGTATTTGCCAAGATCAACAAAAATAACGTAAGTTCTCCCCCTCCAAGACATTCACATAAACTGACAAAACTGCAACAGAAATCCAATAATTTATTGACATCAATAATAACAATACTATAATTTTGTGTTCCATATTTAGAACAAACTTCTGTAATAAAGTGCAGAAGTAATAAGGCTTTTTTATATTCAAATTATGCGTGAAAATTTATTTAAATATATAATTTTAGTATTTAGATAAGTATGTCACAAATACCAAGGTTTAATGTACAGAAGTTTAAAATTCGGAACAGCAAAGTGGGGGAGGGGGAACCTTCTTTGCCTTTTTTCTGAAGTCAGTTCCATACTATTCTGAAGTATTAATTTCTACCACGACGACGCGTGCGCCCTCGAGATTGACCTCTATCTACATAGCCACCTCTTGTCATTGGTAATCTATACCCCCCTCTGTTAGCTCTTGGCACGAATTGATTCAATCCATCTTGTAAACCATATTGTTGAAAATTATCCCCAGCTGGTAAATAACCACCAAATCCAAACTGAGGAGTTCCTAACTGCCCACAGTATTGAACAGGTTGATAAGCTGGAACATTATAATCAGTATTTCTTCCACCAGTGTATGTCTGCCCAGTATTAAAGCTTTCATTTTTGTAATGCGTTTCATTATAGGAACGGACTTTAGAATTTTCGTCATTATAATTTCGGGAAAATCCTGTGTTCTTTGGTGGATTTGAATCATGTGTTTTTTGGTGCTGAGCTGGAGGTCGTCCCCCACCTCTTGCAGACCCTGAATCACTCTTTTGCCAGCTGGGAACTTCTGGAGGAGGAGGCTGCTGTTCTTCTGGTCGTCCACCTCGATCTGGGACCTTAAATAAATTATTCTGAATCAGTTCACACGATGGTATCAAAAATTTGAAAAATAAATACTTAACACTGAAGTACAGAAATTAACTTTAGAATATTTGCTTATATCATTTTGACATTGAAATCCATCTATCACATTACATAGTTTACAGCTCTCTTTGGATTACAATAAAACGTTTAATTAGTTTACATGAGCAGTTTGCCCTCTACACAATTTGAAGTAATTCTAAAAGTTTTACCTACAATTTATTTATTATATTCATACTTTCATTTTTTTCATTGCTTCTGTTTACATTAAAAAAAAAAAAAATTAAAGGTGAAGACTGACAAACCATGTAAAGCTGACTTAATGGAATCCTTTAAAAATTTAGAACAAGAATTGATAATTCTGTTGCATCCATTTCAGCAAAAGAATTGGTAAAAATAAATAATTTTCCTGCAGGAAATGTAAAATCTAAGTTTCAAAAATTGAAAGGATATTTTTTTATTTTACAAATGTGTAAAAGTATAAAAGTATAAGCACCACACTCAAAAGAATATCTAGTAAGAAGCAATTCCTTTATAGTAAACATTGCTCATAATCAAATTTCAAATTATTTACATTTCAAACCTAGAATGAAATACTGTACAAACATGGTCATGAAATGACTCGGAAGTAGTATTTCCTGAACGCCACATTAAGGGATGGTCACAGCATGGATTTAAATTTTATGGTATTTAATTTATGGTGATAAATAAATTAAAGTACAAAGGATTCTGAAGCTATAGACATTTGTTCATTTACGAATCAGCATTAGGCATAAGTATTTCAAAGGAAAACTTACATACTGCAATTTATTGGAGGTCTTTATTTAAATTATGTAAATATTTTAAATAATAAAATGAGATCAACATAAAAATATTACATTTAATTAGTCCATGGAAATTCTCTAACATGCAAAAGATATAAAAATTAAAGGGTGCAAGGAACAGAGAGATTTTCATGTAAACAAATGATTGTGTGTAGGAAATGAACACAAAATTATAAATTTCTAGATTGCAAATATGATATTTTATTTTACTTCATGTTTGTTATAATAGTATTAATATTTTTTTGAATATTATATTGCAAGAATGGGTAGAAAATTTTTTACATGACATTTCAATCATCAATTTCTCTTCTACAAGTTAATGGTTTAAAGTACATACTTAAAGCAAAATAACAATTTATCTAAATATAACACAGAATAAGCATAACTTAAAATAAAAAATAATTATCTTGGAGAACACAATATACATTTTCATTTCACTTCTGCCGTGAAAATGACACCTGCACAAGTTCTAATACAGCCAGAAGGCTGTTCAAAGCATTCAATTGCAAACAGATTTTTTTAACCATAAGTATGTAAAAATGTAAAATATTACATTTAAATATGAATTAGTTATATTTGTGAAACAGCATAATATGCATAATTACACAATGTAATTATGAAAATAAAAGCAATGAGAAAATTTTCTGCAGTTGTGTGACATGTTGAAATAAAAATTTAATAACCATGACAATAACAATACTTTCATTAAAATTGCATCGGAACATGATACACTAACACACACTAATTTTTATTTATTGGTTTGAAAAGAAGACAGTAAACCTTCGAAACTATAATATTTAATCATAATCCTCATTTGTTTCACAATCACATATCTAGTGCATTAATATGCCTTAGTAGTGATTTTAACAAATAAAATATTTTTGCTAGTTTTTTTTCCATTTCATTCATTAGAAACACTAGTTAGTATTGTCTGAATTGTTCTTAAGTTTTCCGTTGAACTTTGCATCATAATCTTTAAGGCAAAGATGCCATCCAGGTTTGTTATTACAAAAGAATAAAAAACAATAAAGGTGGTTATTTCTGATGACAAAATTTTTCAGAAATTCTAATATATTCTGATAATAATCATCCATCAACTGAAAACCAAATTTCAAATGCTACTTTGAAAACAAGATTTGAAATGCTACTTTAACATATATCTTTTCTGCAAAGGTTCATAGTTACTAGGGAAGGAATCCACACAAAAAATTAATAATATGAGAGGTGTTCAAATGAGAAGGTATGAAATGTTGTAACTACCAAGTTGGTTAAAATTTGAATATGCTGCTTTGAGATAATGTAGTAGGACATCTACGAATGCGAATGTGGTGTCTGGTGTGGTTATGCACATACAAGGGCACCTGCACATGACGCAGGAGAGTAGGCAGTTATGCGTTCTGTTCAATTGATGCCACAGTGCATATGAGGATATCATGGCTTTCACATTGCAAAATTCAACAAATGAGGAGCAGAGAGGGATTATCAGATTTCTGACTGTGGACTGGGTTAAAATGGATGATATGCATCACCACATGGTGGCTGTATACAGGGGAAATTGTGTGTCCGACAAGTCAGTGAAAAAATGGAGTTTTGTGAAGGCATGTTTCTGTTTTTGTGAAGGCATGGAGTGCTTGAATGATGACCGGAGACCAGGCCAGGCATACACAGTAATCAAGGCTGAACTCATCAACAAGGTGAACGAACTGGTCAGAAGTGATCGATAAGTCACAGTGTGAATGTTAGTAGTGATGGTGGGGGCCAGTATTGGAACAGTGGGGATAATTGTGCACGACAAGCTGGGTTACTGAAAGGTGTGCACAGTGCATTCCAAAGAAGCTCAGTGAAATGCAAAAGGAACTGTGTATGGTCCAGTATTATGAAGACTCCGCTTTCCTGGAGTAGATCATCAATGATATGAAAGCTGGTACCATCATTTCGAGCCAAAGTGGGACAGCAAGCAATGGAAGAATGCCTCGTCACCTCCCCTTAAAAAATTCAAAGCTGTGCACTCAGCAGGCAAGGTGATGCTCATCATCTTTCTTGATGCCTGAGGTCCAATACTCATTGAATTCCTCTAGCACAGAAAAACCATTAACAATGACATGTACTGAGACACTCCATAGCCTATGCAAGTCTATCAAGAGCAAATAGCCTTGGCTGCTAATCGAGGGAGTGACTCTACTCCACAATAATGAGCATCCACGTCTTCAAGGTCACACAAAGTGCAAAGGTAAAGTTCAAGTGGGAGCAGCTTGAGCATCTGCCCTACAGCCCGGGCATGTCGCCCTGTGACTTCCATGTGTTTTAGTCTGTTAAAAAAATTCAAAAGAAAGCACTTCAACTTAGATGAAGAATGGAAGGACATAATGGAGGACTGGCTTCTGCCACAGCCACAAGAATTCTAGGAACATGGAATGCTTCAACTCATGAAACAGTGAGATAGCTGTGCTTGGGTCTCTAGGTATTAGTTGTGAATAAAGACTTCAGTTATACTCACAGTGTCATTTCATACCTTTCATCTAAATACCCCTCATAATAAAATTTCTACAAGCATTAAATATCTTACTTACAGAACCTATGATGACTTTATTCACTTCTGATGTAGTATTTTTCCTTACAGAAGCACTACTTGTTTTCTCAATTATGGCCAAATCTAACAATAAAATGCATTTTGTAAATAATGAAGAAATTAAGCTTGAAGAATCAGATGTGAAACAAATGACAAGTTTTTCATGCCAAAATTACATTATGTTAATACATAAAAACCACCATAAGTATTATTCATGAAATTTAGATTACAAACATTACATTAATTATTCATGAAATTTAGATTACAAAGATTTGTTCAATTTTACTTTGTGACTTAACTTTCATTTTCTGCTTCATTTCATATCCTTGTGAAACTAACTTTAAAAATACCATGACTGAAGGAAGGAAAGAATGTATACATTTTGTTGATTTGCTATTCCATTCTCACTACTGTACATATCCTTAAAAAACAACAACACTTTAAAGGGCAACTGCAAATTTTTGATACTTTAATACAGTTTTCGGTTACACTTTTCTTCAAAAAAATGTAAAAGAAAAAAACTTGCACTTCTGGTAGGATTTCATATTGCAGAATGGGTCACTTAATTACTATACAAATCAGTAGGCAAATTTTTCAGACTTTGAATGTCTTAGATGAAGGAAATTTTAATTAGAAAATTAAAGTGACTATCCTTGAATAAAGTCTAAAGTGATTTTCATGTCTTCCAGCTGCTATTTTTCATTGTTGTCAAACTGCCAAAGTCCAAAAATTTCTACTAGTTTTTAAACCTATCACTGATTACTACAGATAGGTCCCTTTTCTGCAATGATGGAAATCTTCCATTCTTTTGACCATTATCAGATGGAAATTTTCACTGCAGAAAATTCATGGCAGGCTTTATAACAAGTAGAAGCGAAGGGAATACAGTAGTTTAAGGATGGCCATGGGGAGTGAGTTAAAGATACAGTACAAAATCCATAATCCGGACTCGTCGCGACTTCAGCAATTCTGGATTATAGATCAATTTAAATGTGGTAAGATGGCATGCAGAAATTATACAATGAAAAACATGAAACCATAATTTATGAAATAAAAAGCAATTATGATCTAAAGGGTATCAAAATTTACAAAAAAAAAAAGGCTTAATATTTATTTGTTTACTTTAGTAAACATTTCTTTCAATGTAAGTTGTTTAAGTTGCTTCATTCTTTCTGCTAATACTTTCTCTTTAATTCTATAAAACAGACATAATTTCTCGTTCATTTACAAAGTTCCACTGTTCAAGGCCTGCAATTGCTGTGTCGCGGATACCGACTAACTCGTGAATCGAAATTTTTTCGTTTTCAATAACCTGTCACTTTCTTCACTATCGGAAGCGGTATTTTCTCGATCTAGAACCATACTACAGATTTCGCCGTCCATTAATTGATTGATGATTGGGGCATTGTTGTTGCAATGAAAAACTTCTGTTAAATCATCTTCATTTATTACCACTTCTTCACATTTCTTTCCAAAATCCAATAACTAGAAAATTTTACCTTTAGTTTGCGATGTCCGAAAACCTTCAAATTCGCGGCTATCATCTTCATCATCTTCACCACAAAATATGGTATCTGGCCATAAATTATGCCAAGCATTTTTTATCGTATCTGGAGCACATGTGTAAAGCATACAAAAAAAAAAAAAAGTTTGTGGCTTTGAGGTCCGGATTATAGATCATTCTCGATAATGGATGTCCAGATTACGGACTTTGTACTGTATTAAATTTCAAGCTCTAGATAACATCAAAAAGGAAATGCCAGAAGCGAATGAAACTATACATATGAAGGCAATGTTGATAGCTAACTAGTTACAATATTAAAGCGAAGAATAAGCTTAAGAGAAAATTTTACAATTCAAAGAGGCTTAAGTGCCTCATTTGGCAGTTCTTTGAAATACACTATGAAATATGATCAAGGATGGAGGCATACATGTTCCCTATGCTATTGTGCAACACATTTGTCCACAATGTTAAATGGGTTTCTATAACCGACAAATTTATAGGCTAGAAAATCTGGTATTGCAGCTGATCCTATAAACAGATTATCAGAAATAAATTTAGCAGCTACGTATCCAAAAATGCCTGCTAACTTATCATTCACAGAAGATACTTGTTCTATGTGGGTAATCACTAGGCTCCAGAAACATGCCTGTTGGAAGTCTTGTCATGATGGGCAGTACCTGCAGGATGTGCTGCACATATCACTCGGCTGTTAGTACTCTCTCATATCACTACTAGATATAGTAAACTCGCATATGAGGGCTGGGCACATAGTGGGTACTATGAAACCCAAATATTTCTGTCTGAAAGGGTGAACTATGAACTTCCATACTCGATCTAACTCGCATGCCTGAAGGCTGTTATCTGTTCAAATATTTCATCACATAACCAGTGCTCCAAAGCACATCCTAACTAAATCAACATGCTCTACATGAGCAAAATTTTTTAAAATAATCATTCCATTTTTCTCAGTCCCATGGTGTCCATCTTCCATAGAGACAGGCCCAGTTGCCAAATACTCCTTCAACAAATGAAATAAAATAAACACAACTTGAAGTAATTTTTGAGGTTCTTTTTACACTAGAATAGATCTAGTTTCCTTATAACATTTAATGGAAGACAATGCTCAATCAGACTGCCAATGATTATCATATATACATACAGCTGTAAAAAAGAATCCTGGATTAACTCTGTGGCACTCTTAACAAATGGAATTGCAGGTTTGCTTTGCAACTATAGTGACTTTTTGTTTGTTTTGTGTGTAGCAATCTATGATACATTCCGAACAGAAAGGTAAAACAATAAGCCAATGTGAAATTTATCATTAAAACTTATAAATGGGCCACAAAGATAAGGACTATGTTTTGGAAAGCTTATGGGAAAGCAATGAGTCATATGCAATGTGAGTGCACAAGTGCTTCAAAAGTGAGGGCATGAACCCTGAGGATGAGACATCTCGAATACCCTCCAAAAGCCCTCCCTGAAAATGTGAAGGAATTTAGGAACTTTTCTATGCAGACTGTTGGTAGATGATGAATGACACTACAGGTATCAGTAGAGTTCAAACACGTTCATGCAGATAATCCTAATGTCGGAACTGAGCATGCAGCATATTCCTGAAAGGTTTCCCTCCAATATTAGCTGACCCTCTAAGTAAAAGGAATACTGCACTGAAATGTGCCAAAATCTGTGAGCACTGTGTTATATAATTCATCCATGATCATTACTCATGACAAAATCCAGCACAAAAGATGAAGGACTTGCTTATTCAAAATGACTTAAAGTTTAAATTCAAACAGTGGCAGAATGCTAGGAGTTGGCACATAGCTGCACAAAGTGACAAAGAGATGATGTTTAAACTTAGTTAAGTAATATAATTTTTTTCTCAACAAAGCTAAACTGGGAACTTTTGATACACCCTCCTGTTTGCTTGAAACAAAACTACATAGCTAGTTTTGGAACAATTTGACACTTATTCAAAAATTTGCAGTTGCTCTGCTAATTTTCCTTTTTTGGGTGGGGGGCACAATTAGTACTACTAAATTTGATAGGGGTGAAAAAAGCCTATCCCTTTTACTTTTGTTCTTCCCATTGAGGTATAATGACGAAATAAAATTTAGATAAAAATACTATCGTAAAGAAAATACAACATACAATTAAAAATTACACAATTTCATGATTACTGAATTAAACGTTTTTTAAATAGCAGAAGTTATTATATGAAAAGGTATCAGGTGTTGGATTTGATGATTTTTTATCACTTCATAATAACTTTTTTAAAATGGCGCCACAATAGCATCATATTTTCGGAAAACTACAAATATAACACAGGGGATAAAAACATTAAGAAAAAATACAATTATTGAAATTTTAGTGATAAGTAAAATCTCAAAATTTACTTTCTTTTTAACATTTGTTATACGCCATTTTTAAGAAAATATGGGCAAACAGGTAAACAATTATGGTCCAGCTTGCAAGAAAATATGGAGGTCAGATAACTTCTTACAGAAAACTGAATGGCACAAGCTAAAAGAAGAAATCACACTTTTAAGCATCTAGTTTATCTGGTCAGCTATGAAATCCTAAATTCAAAAATTTCCAGTTGCTCTGCTTATAAGAATTTTAGCACAAATAACTTCTAACTAAATTTCTTATTTACACCTGAAAGGTACCGTCATCCTCTATTTTTCATTATGGTAATGTACATTCAAGCACTTGTCATTGTATTTTACCAATCTCTTTTGCATAAAACTCAGCCACCCGCAACTTCAACTACCTTATCAGTTTGAAGTTCCTCATCATCAGCAAAGTGCCGAGCCCCAAGCCATTCCTTCGCAGGGAACAGGTGGTAATCAGAAGAAGCCAAGTCCAGGCTGTAGGGAGGGGATGTCGACAGGAAAGATCCTGTGTTTGCTGAGCTGAGGGTGAGTGTTATTGTGCAAACATAACCCCAGATGCCAGCAGGGCCTCAAGGCTTGTTTTGGATCACTCTTTCCCATTTTCTCAAAGTACTACAGCACACTTCAGAATTGATTTTCGTACCACATTCTCCATGAATTCGACAAGCAATATTCTATTAGCATCCCAAAACACGATGACCATAACCTTCCTTGGTCACAAAGTTTGCCAGGCTTTCCTTACCCATGTTGGAGAATCGGTATGGCCCCATGCAATTTACTGTTATTTTGTCGCAGCATTCATATGCGCTACTCAATCTCGTCATCAGTCACTATTCTGTTCATAAACTCTTCCCTTTACATGTGGTACTGGGAAAGAGTAAGCCAGTGTCCATTCAAGTGGTTTTATGGATCACCGCAAGAGCTTTCGGTACCTATCAAACACAGAAATTCATGTAGCCTAATTTTCCAGTGATTGCCTCATACAAAACAGTGCGTGAAATGTTTGGAAATTGCTGTGAACGTTCCGAGCTTGTGAACTGACAGATTTTGTCGTCAATTCGTTTGATGAGATCATCACTCACTACAAACAGCCTCCCATTCCTTAATTCATCATTAACGTTTGTTCTTTTTTTGAATAAATCTCACCAACTGATGCACTACACCTCACTCATAATGCTTGAGCA